CTACATTAGAAGTACAAGGAGGAGCTAATAATATCCTAGCTACCCTCCTCATGGCTCCCTGCTATCTAGTCTAGTATAAATTTAAAAATTGAGGTGAGGATCAACTTAAACTTTTTACACAGCATATAAGGACATTGATATGTATCAGAAAATGTGATAAAAATTTGGGGTGAATTTGGAGCCAATTTTTTGGAGAAAAACTATAGGTAATATAGCCTGCCTTAACTCAAAAACTATGAGCCGGAATCAGCTCAAACTTTCTTCATAGCATAAGGACATCAATATGTATCAGAAAATTGAGAGTGATTTTAGAGCTATTTTTAGAACTCAGTAACCATGGGCTATACTAAAAATTATTTTTCAAAAATTGGCATATTGTTAAAAATGGCAATAAATAAATAAATTTAGCCAAATGAGCTTATTATTTTACATATCATCTGAAAATTAGCTAATAAGCACCCATAAATTTTATTACATCATAAACAGTCCTTATTAAGTTCAATAAGTTAGGGTCTACTATGTTACAATACTTATTATTATTACTAAATACAATACTAACCAGAATTAATAATCAACATTGCCTGGAATGCCATCAGTGCACATGATTGAAAGTTAACCTGTAGATTACATGTACTATCCAGTGCATGTGTGGTGTGTTTGGGCTACTTACTGTATCTGTGGTAATGATACTGTTAATAAAAGTACATTACATAATAAAGTTATTTTTAAAATATTTATCATCAATAGGAAGAACGTCAAAAATATAAGAGTAATGAAAGAAATTAAGAAAAGAGAACTTCCACTATTATACATGTAAAAGTAAAATGTTGAATACATTGAAGAAGCATATGAGCTTATGAAAAAGAAAGAGCCCCTGGTATAACATATTGGTATGGTGATAAGGTGCAATAATATAATCATTATGTAAAGTAGTATGAAGGTGATAATGTTGGTGATAAGAGGTGCTAAAATTGTGTGGTGGTTAGATGATACCAGTGTGAAAGTAGCGTTCAAGATATGATATCATGTTTTTGCAGGTTGATCAGTTGCTGCACTTGTTTTTGATGATGAGTTTTCTCCTGTATTCTCTTTTCTTCCTCCATCATATCAAATATCATATCACTATAAACCTTTTGAAGATAATTAGTTAATGCTGAGTCAGGATTAAATGCTTTAGCTATATCAATATGGTTTGGATGAGGTTTTAAACCATATTTAACAACTAAAAGCCTAACAAGCTCTAAATTATAATTAATTATAGCGTAATAAAACAAGGTTTTACAATCAGCAGTTTCAGCTAGTGCATTACAATGAAGGTCAGTTAAAAAGTATTGTACTAGCTCAATACTACCAGCTTCACATGCTGCATGAATTGAAGTGTATCCATTATTATCAGGATCATCAGGAGTACAGGGGAAGGTCTCTATGAGATAATGTACCATGCGAATATTATCAGAATGAGAAGCATAATGAAGAGGAGTACGACCACACTTGTCTTTAGGTGTTGGGTTAGATGTAATATTTGGTTCCAAATACTGGTATAGATAAACTCTTTTTATTAAGTGTAAGCAGGAAACGCCATCTTTATCTTGTGATAAAGGATCCAATCCATGTGTCTCAATCAATGTTTTTACTATTCCAATATCTCCTGCCTCACATGCTGCATGAAGTAAACCACGTCCTCTATTATCCATTACATTAACACCTTGAGGATAAATACTGACCAAATAATGAAAAATATTAATATGGCCATTACTGCAAGCTGTATGTAATACAGTGGATCCTTCATCATCGTTAGCTATAAGGAGATCATGATGAGTAGAACTACCAG